TTGTTACATTTCACAAAACCTAGTACAGCGAACAGGTCTAAGTGTCGAAAGATTTACGAGCAGTATTTGTCCTGGATTCCCAGATTGAGGAATTGTTTTTATCGAGGCATTTAGACGAAGACTTGATTTACTAGGCAATGGATCGCCGTCAAGTCCAGTCAAGCTTGATGCATCCAATAGGGTAAGTGATTGTCAGTCTCCACAATGTTTCATGCATCCCGATTGTTCCATGGGCTGGTGAAACCTGGAATTCAACCAGTTTGCACCCATTTTCTGTTGTTGGGGATTTACCACTTGGATAAACCTCATCCCCTATTCGATTTGTTTTGTTTTGCACTGTGAGCGGGCTCGAAACTCGTTTTGAAATCCAGTACTTTTCGGTTATATCGTTCACTCGCGCCGTGAAAATCACTGAGTACAATTGACTGCATCTTCTTCAAAGTACTCTCCTTATGAATCATACATGCTACGGGGCTCGGAAATTATATTTACCTTGTGTGTGCATATATTCCTGAACGTATTTGCACGAGTGAAACGCATTATCTCGGAGAGAATACTGTTTTCATGCAACTATGCACAAGCCAGCTCTGGTTTACCACCGCGCTTTATTTACGATTACTGCTCTGGGTTGGAGGAAATCTCGTGGAGATCAACAGATGACATGGATTAGGGGGGATGAAGAAATGCACAGGACGATCAGGTAGAGTGGGTCCAAATGATTGCAATTCCCTGGTTGGAGATACTCAAGAGCATCCAAGCGAACCAAACGGCAATGGTGTTCACGTTTACATAGATTATGTAACCTGTGTGTTGAGTGTAGACGTTCACTTTTGTTACCCCTCCGCCCTCTCACTATACTCAGGTCCTTAAATATGATGGTACTATCCTGATTCATTCCTGTTGATCAACCCCGAACTAGATCTCCACCTGTCCTGATCGTTTACGGTCTCATGTTAAGCGACCTCTCCATACAGCCGAATGTGCTTTACTCTTCTACTTGCACGTTTGCGGGTCGAAATTTCGCACGTGCGACTTCGTGAATCATCACCGGAAATAGAGGCATAGTAAACAGTATCGATGGAGAACTGAAAATGTTGAGCAAGCCCCTTAACTCACGTGTGACACAGTAAAACCGCGAAAGAAGTGGACAGTGATTGATGTACAGATGTTCTTTCACAGTCGATCAGAGTCCAAAAGGAATTAACAGGGCTTTACAGAGAGAGAGAGAGAGATTCAGTTAACAAGACCAGAAAGGAGACAGATAAGTACACGGTCCACACGGTCTCTTTCACTTAGCATCGATCGCCAACGTGAAACATGTGTAGGGGTACTTGGGCTATGAAGAGAACTTGGATGAATTGCAATGAGTTTTGGATTGTCTAAAATGCCAAGTGCCAGAAAACCGATGAGCTTAGCTGTCAATGTTTGGTTGGGTGAAAATTCGCTACCGGTATAGATCGATGCGGCTGCTTGAAAGTCTGATCTAATTTTATTTGTCCATTAGTGGACCGATTTGTGACGAACGCAATATGATACGAATGTTTGCGAGGCAAAAGATTGCGCAAATTCTGCAGTTAGAGACACATCAAAGCGCAGTATTTCTGAAACAGAGTGGGGTTGTTTAAGGGAGAATTTGAAGTGGCACATATTGGCTTTAAGAATGAACCCAAAACCTATGATCGCGATTCGGCGATTCCGTCGCCGTCACGTGTTGATAATCTTCCTTCATTATTGAACTGTTCATCGTACCTGTCGAAGAAAACAACGGTGTATGGCGAGCGTGAGATTAATAGTTATTGAATACCTGGATACCCTAGGGTTAAGCAGATCTGAATGCTACCAGGCGCGTCCCCGGATTATGGAATGGGTGATATCTTCACCGAAGAAGATTGGTTAGATGTGAATAAGTNATAAGTTGTGGCATACCACAACAAATAAGCAGTCGCGAACAAACAGCGGCGGAACTACCATGGTGTGATGGGTTCCAGGCTGGTCACCTCGCTCCTGTCTAAAAGCCACATAAACCCAATGACGGTGTCGTGACAAAGGTCCATGTGACTGGCCTTTTAAAACTAAAGTCATTGACCCCCTCACTTCCGAGGCGAGGGTTTACTTCCTGCTGCCTTGCAGTTCACACTTGGTTGTGCAAAGGCTAGAGGTGCGCCCTCAAAATAAAAAACGCCGAGTGACGCTGGAGACGTGTCGTACCAAACTCTCAAGTAACTTCATGATGATGTCTGGAGCCGGATTATCCTTTTCAAAGAGCCAGCCCCAGTAAAGTAAAATTGTATTGAATGGTCAGAAAATGAAATAAAGCAGAAATGAACATTTTTTGTAGTAGATCCTCATTCGTCTCTTTTTTCCCGTCGCTGGTGGTGCCGGGTGAGATAGAACCTTAATTGGTCTCACTTTCATCCAGCAGTTAAGGCCTGTGACAGAGCAGTGGCCAGCGCGCCACGCTTCGCTCATCAGTCACAGTTTAGAAACTGACTACTCATAAGTACTACCAAGAAATTTCGAATAAAGTGAGATTGCAACTGATGTCGGTGATTCCTGATCCTTCTCTTGCGGCTCATGCGGCGGGCAAATAGTTGCACAGTGATAGTCTTTGGCTTGAGTTATGTTCACGGTCGATACAACGTGTGTGTGTGTGTGTGGTTGACATGTTGTTTTGTTAGTTGCTGTGACCTTTCTTCACGTGGGTTAAATGAGCAACAAATAAGCGAATGGCACTACCACGCGTCAAGGCGAACGCCAACCAGAACTTTCTCCAAAGTTTAATTTTTGCATTGGTATTTTTGATTAGTTTTCCATCGAATTCTCTCGACGTACTGTCTGCAATTGGTTCTCTCGAAAATATCAATTCTTTTTCCTTATTGGGTAATTTTTTCAATTACTTCCCTTTTATTGAATACAGAATGATGTTATTTTCTGGAAGTAGGAAGCGGCTAATCAAATGACTCATTCAACACACACAACTGGGAAAAGTCAGTCGGTGGTGATGGGAATCGGATGCGCGTCTCTCGGAGCGATAATTTGGTGACGTGACCACTCGGCCGTCATCGCCCTGCACAGTCATCTCAGAATCTGATCTACGGTGAATGCTCAGCGAAAAGCGTGCAGTGTTGTATTGTATTCTATTGAAGTTCTA